CCTGAATAAACAGGTTTGTACATAATGTACAAGTTGGAATAAACATCAGGGGTGCCATCTATGACCAAACTCCCCTATACTTACAACTATAGTAGTAGCTGACAAGGACTTCTGTTATGTGATCAGTGATGTAATTGAGTGAGTACTGTCAGGATTAACAGGTAACTGTTGTTGCTGTGATTATCGGGGTGAATACCCCCTTGACCTGGTTATATTCCTCGGTTTGTCAGAACCACATCTGTGCTTGTAGGTGTTATCAACATGGTAATTGTCTGACACCTGCATTACTTGGGGCTTTCCTCCTTCTTTAACCCGACACATGGTGATGGACTGGGAAACTTGGGGGTTTCCACTGTGATATTACTGGAATATTCAGTGTTTTTTCACTGTTGATTAACGAATTTCATCCAGTTAAAAAATATTACTGGGACAGGTAAATTTGAGTGTTCACATTCTATGTGTCTAGTAGAAATACTTCTGAAAAAGGCATCACATTTCCTGTGAATCGCTGTAAATATTAAATTATTAAATGTTTCAATAGCTGTGGTTTTAAGTTGTGTAACTATCTGTTGCAAATCTCTGTTAAAAAAATAGCACACAATATTATTTATACATACATCAGTCAGAGACATAACGTGTACGCGAGACGGTCTATCGCCTCTTGTACGCGAGAAGTGTGTGCTCCACGGTACTAACTGAAGCGCTTGACCCTAATTAATTCAATCACCTTGACACTAATTAATTCAATCACTGTGGAACCAACTCGATTGGGTGCGAACACAAAGCAGGATGATTAAAGCGTCCCGTAAAATCCCCAAGCATGGTGGTTACTTGACAGATGTGAATAAACAGGTTTATCAGGAATGCAGAAACACCACGTCCAGGGTCGGTTGTTTGCATATGCAAATTACATAAAAACAATTCGTTGCATTTGAAAAAGTGCATGATTTATTTCAGTGGAATGTCATGGCTAATTTTAGTAATGTTACAGTACATACGTAGTGATAATCACTGTGATAATGAGGTTTTGAGTTGGATATGCTATATAAAAGAAGCAAGATTTTGCAAATGCATGTTTGTCATTATGTTAAATCCATGGGTCGTGCTCTCTGTATTTGGTGGGCAAGGTAACAACATATTGATCAATGACAACCGTGAAAGAGTGATTTTTGTAGTTGTTGTACTTGTAACTTTCATACGTTTACACTTGATATCAAAATGGTTCATGCCATGACAATATGTACATTTCTTTCCAAATGCTGGACACTGGTCTCTATCTCTTGCATGAGATCTGCCACAGAATCTGCACTCTTCAATGTAGGACACATATTTTGGTTTAGTTTGTTCCCTCTCTGATCTTCCACTTTTGCTTTGACCACTTTTCTTTCCATTTCTGTTTCCACTCACAAAGGACACCTAATCAGTTCTCATAGATTTGAGTTGATGATCTGTTGTTTCACATGCTCTGCACACAGTGAGACACTTCTCTAGTGTCAAGTCTGCAGTTTGTAACAGTTTCTTTTTTTGTGCTATTGTCAAGAATTCCTACAACAATTCTGTCCTTGATCAATGAATCTGTTAGTGTGCTGTAAGTGCAGGATTTGGCAAGAGATCGCAGAGCCGCTACATAAGTGTCAATAGATTCACCGCTTTCCTGTTCACGTTTATTGAAAATGTAACGCTGATATGTTTCACTTGTCGAACCAACACAATATGTCTCAAATTTTTCCAAAACAATGTTTATGTTAGACTTATCATCTTCATTTGCAAATTGAAACCCATCAAAGACTTCCAGAGCATCAGATCCAACAGCTGAAAGAAGTGTTGCCGTTCTCAATCTCATTTTTTCTGAAACAAGTCTCTGAGCAATTTCATAATTGTCCCATCCACGTTTGAATCTTTTCCAGTTTGAGGCTAAATTCCCATTCAGATCCAATTTTGGCGGTAGAGGAATTGCAGAAAGCATATATACCACCTTTGTGACATTTTCTTCACCTTCAGCCATGATAAGAATTAGTAACAATCTCCGTAGAAAATGTGAAGCCTCAGCAAGTCTAGATTTTCAAGTCAAACGAAACAGTGATGGATTTTGCAGTTTATAGAGAGAATTATCATAATTCGTTCCAACGAGGTAGAGTACACTTCATAGATACTTTTCATAGCAAGAGTTCTTTGAAAAGTCAGTGTACAAGTGTACTGCAAACTCCAGTATGTCTGTAGAAAAGATTCTTGTAGACCACTTCCACTTTCTAACCACTTCTGACACCATGTAACGTTCTGTGTATCTTGAAATTGGAATACACACAGAGACGTCGTGGGTACAGGTTGGACATGTTGTTTTACTCATTGAACGGCTCTTTACAATACAAGGGAGATAACTCTCGAAGATGTGCATATCAGTACAGTACTGTCGCTAGGTACTGTAAGCTTTAAGAGCAAATCTGGACTTACATGCCGTAGCCCCCTTTGTTCTAGTCAGTAGTGTATAGGCTCAGTGTGAGTGTAGCCTCCACATTCATATACTTGTTGCTGGTCCAAACTGCCTCAAAGATGAGGGAGCTGACTGACGAGCCCATCTCTTGTGCCACGTCAACTGTTCCCAAATGAAAAACAACAAACCCAAGTCACGAAGTCTTGACCAACAAAGTACAATTCCTTGCGAACCCTGTTTTCAAACAGCTGTTTTGAGGGAATCAAAACTTTGATTCAGATTGATATTGGCAGGAGATATAGTCAACAAAAGAATTCTGCGGTATCCTAAAAGACCTGTGACAAAAGGCATTGTAATGGACAGGGTAATCTATAATGATTACCGTATATAAATATGTTTACTATTACGACGTATTTTGGCAGTATACTAATTCTCGCGGTATCAGTTACACTGTCCGTATGGTGTTGTTCCGTGCCAGTGTACTGCAACATATAATTTACTGTGATCTTAGGATTACGAGAGCTCATACTGTTGGAATTATTATGCAAAACAGATCAAAGCCTTCTCTTCACCTTGTTCCATCGGTTTACCTTATGTGGCGTAATTTATTTAGTGTCTTTGGTCTTGCTTTGTGCTTCTTCTGGTAAGTTACGTCTCGCCGTGGGTGCCGCCATGTTGTGACGTCATAACTAGGTGTTGTGAAGGTTTCGTATCTAGGGTTTTTGTATCTAGGTTTCATAAAAGAAAATAACAGAGATCACATCACAATAGAAAATAACGGATATCAAGGATTCTTTGGTGAACGGTTCAAGAAGAAAGACTATTTATTCAATTGGATGGTGGCATCTCTGTCGATCAGAAGATAAACTTGAATAACATGTAAGTTGACACCCGGCATGCCTGAAGCATACTTCTGAACAAAGCGCTAATAAAATCTTGCTTTTTCCCACTGTTTTAACTATAATTGTACTGTTAATTTATAAGTTGTAAAATACAACTTTGGCAGCGTGATGGTGTATTGTATTTACTCTCATAAATTCTCTTGTATGTAATAAATTTGATCGTTGGTAACTTTTATAACTTGTGAAATTATTCACTAGTTAAAACTGTTGTGTTGCTGTGGCTGGATGAGAGAGATCCAAACACCCACAATGTCTTAGTACCTCTCCAATCACCCCGTCGACCGTTACAGCATCATCTCCATTGCTTTGTCTTTTAGTCACCTGTTTTCCAGCAGCCATCTTTCAGCACACAATTCTCAACATTATGATGCGGCTCTGTTTAAAAGTAAAACAAAATATAATAAACTTTGACACCTAGTCAAACAATATGAATTGTGTCAAATTTTAGCAGTCACACTATTTCACTCTTCCTTTTCATCACAGCATGGGCACCAATGTTGTGAATGATGATGGACTGTCCTGACAGGTGAACAGACTTCAGTTGAACCCATTGTTGACGAGTTGGACATATACACTGTCAGGCTGGCAGTTTTGATGACAAATCTCTGTCAATATGGCTGTTTTTTTTAAAAAAAGGTGATCATGGGACTTGAAAGTTGAAACCAGGACTGATCTTTTCATTTGCTATTGGCCTACTTGACCAACTGCCTAACGCCTCCAGAATCACTGCAGTGAGTGTTTTAGAACCATACTCCCCGAGTCACTTACACGCAACTTGTTGGTAAGGGAAATGTAAACAAAACAGTATATCTCCTATCCTTCAAAACTAACAAACAACAAGCCCAGTAAAGCAACAACTAGGACACTAACCAATATTCTGTAAGTTTACAAAATGGTACTTGCATAGTGCTGACATAGTTCATACAGAAAGAGTCAATATTGTTGTAAAATATTGCCATGAACTTCTGATGAACATTAATGATGAATACCTTTTTCTCCCCTCCAAAAAGTGGAAAATGGATATAGGAATAGGTCTGTCTGACCATTTGTCCGTCATGTGGGGGATCTGTCTAAGGCGCCGCGCTACAAAGCTAAAGGTGCCTGGATCGATCCCCACTTGTGACCGGGTGTAAAAAAAACCTTGGAGCTAACATTACTTGTAGGCTCTTTCAGTGCTTTCACTACCCCTAGTGTGCAGTACACAACCCTGTGCACTTAAAAGAACCCACTCATTCGACGGTAGGACACACGAGCACGTGTAGACACCTAGTTGCGGGTATAGTAATGTGCAGTATCATTGGACAAAATACTACCGGGTATGTGTCCCAGTTCACCCAGCTGCAAATGTGTACCTCGTGAGGATGAGGCTGCATGATAACTCGCTGCACCTAACTGCATGAGTTCAATACTCCCCAGGGAGTTCAGTTGGGTTAAAAGAATGCCAGAAAAAAAGACATCTGTTCATCAAAGGAACAGTCAAGCACCTTGAGCATGTACTAGTTGCGTGGATATGTGCGCTATATGAATATCCTATCATCATCATATCATATCATCATCATGTTTTGTTTCAGGAACATTATTTGGAAACTGTAAAAGGCTTTGCTATGAAAGTTTGCATATTCTGTCATCTATAAAATGTTTTCTGCACTGATCACTTTCTGTTTCAGGCTGTTACCAGGAAGACATTTGTGTATCCTGATGACCCCCGGAAATCTCTGGAGAATGGAATCCTCCTCTGCGAGTAAGTGTAGTATGAATGTTATAAATTGTAGTCTTGACAACTATAGTCAATTGACTTAAAGGTCTTGTAGTATGTGTAATATGAATGTGATAGCTTGTATACATGACAATTGCCACCAGACTTTAAGATCTTGTAAGTGTGTTATGAAGAAAAGTTGCTGATCTTACAATACATTGCAAGAATGTTATGCAAGAAGTAAGTCTTAGGAATAAGCCCCATAACATTTCATTGCCTTTTCCCTGAAGCTTGTTTCTGAATTTACAGGTTTACCTTGTATAAAACTTTTAAAGTCTATGGTTTTGTGTTGTCTTTCTTCCCATAGTGCAGGAGTTATCTCCCCTAATGAAAGGCCCTGGAAACTTCATACTTTTTTGCTGAGGCACACATGCAAACATATTTACTTGTTTTCTGAAATTTTTTTTCTAAGGTTTGACTTTTTATTTGGTTATCATGGGTAAATCTAAGGGCTCTAAAAATATTTTGCCCCCTCCCCCCTCGGGTACAAAAAAATTGCTCAGCATGTTGGAAATTAATGTCCCCTCAGCATCCGCAGGGAGATTGCTGGGAGAGTGTTGACACCCCTTGCTGTTTCTTCACCCATTGCTTGCCATTGTTACCCAGTGCAGCTATCATCATAGGTTTTGAAATGTATGCTCTGGTTGTTAATAAAGGTCAGGAATAATAGATGACAAAGGAACTGTGCTCCAGGATTCCCTCCTGTCCTATCTGATCCTTCCGTCTACCCCTTTGGCCGTGAAACCCACGTTTGTCACAGAGGAGGCCTTATTGGGGCTCTTAAACCTTTTTGAGATTTGATAAATGATCTAGGAGATCGATCTTCAGTGATATCTCATGAAGAGGGTCACTTTCATCTCCCTCCTCCTCACGAGTCAGGTCGGAGTTTAAGTCATGGACTGCACCAGCTGCTACTGTCAACTCAGCTGAGGTATACCCTGAGGTGCAAAGCATGGACCACAACTTTGATCTTATGGACTGCCCATGCATTGATAGGTCAACAAGTGTTCATCAAGTAGAAGTCACGGACAGCATGGTCCACAGTCTGTAGGCAGTCGGCTGATCATCAGAGCAGAGAAAGGGATCAGAGGTAACAGCACACGCACAGAGAGTTGGTCTAGTGCAAGGGCCACAGGGACTGCATAAGCAACTTGGGCCACACAAACTGCAGACTATTAGTAGACAATCTTCTCACAGTTATATTGAACATTTTACATATGCTTCACAGGATCCGAATTTTATGTTCCCTGACATTGAGAATGGAATATTCAGATCACAATTCAGCCAGACACACATTTGCTGACAGTTGTCCTATAGATGTCCTAAAATCGAGGGAAGATAAGAAGTTCCACAAGGCTCTAACATCAGCTTTCTCATCAGCAACTCAAGATTTGGGGGTCCACAGAAGAAGTTCTGGGAACTGGATCTAAGGCAGCACAGCAGATGAAAGCCCAAGTCTCATTAAAAGGGATATGGGAAAGGGTTTCAGGCCATGAAGGATGGAAAGCCCAGGCCTAAATCGACTTGACTCACTGCTTTCTTCCCAGACTTTTGTAGCATGGACCTTGACTGTAGCTAATCGACAAGGGTCATGAGCAGAAGACCCCCATGTTTCCTACAAAGGTGTTTCAGAGTCCAGTGGGCAGCCGTTTATTAGATTTTGCAGTAAACTGGAAGGTCATAATGACCAGTCAGTGGATCCTCAAAGTTATTTAGGAAGGATATCGTCAAGAGGCCCCCTTTGATGACACATCCAGAAGGACATCGGTATCAGCTCTGAGAACCCAAGGTTGTATCGGTTATAGACAAGCCATAGGCAAACTCTTGGACAAGAGGGCTGTCATCACGTTTCATCCTTTACATCATGGACCAGGTTTTTCTCACTGGTATTCCTGATCCCCAAGAAAGACTGGACATAGCATGATGCAGAGCGTCTTGCACATAGCCTGATGCACATAGTGTGATACACATCGTGTGATGCACTGCATGTTGCACATAGCATGATGCTCAGCGTGTTGCACATAGTGTGAATCACAGTGTGTTGCACATAGTGTGATGCTCAGCGTGTTGCACATAGCATGATGCACATAGTGTGATATACAGTGTGATACACTGCAAGTTGCACATAGTGTGATATACATACTGTGATGCACTGCGTGTTGCACATAGTGTGATACACTTCATGTTGCACATATATAGCGTGATGCTCAGCTAGTTGCACATAGTGTGATGCTCAGCGTCTTGCACATAGCCTGATGCACATAGTGTGATACACATAGTGTGATACACAGTGTGATACACATAGTGTGATGCACATAGTGTGATACACATAGTGTGATGCACATAGTGTGATACACAGTGTGATACACATAGTGTGATGCACATAGTGTGATACACAGTGTGATACAGTGTGATACACATAGTGTGATACACAGTGTGATGCACATAGTGTGATGCACAGTGTGATGCACATAGTGTGATACACAGTGTGATGCACATAGTGTGATGCACAGTGTGATACAGAGTGATACACAGTGTGATGCACATAGTGTGATGCACAGTGTGATGCACATAGTGTGATACACAGTGTGATGCACATAGTGTGATACACAGTGTGATGCACATAGTGTGATACACATAGCGTGATACAGAGTGATACACATAGCCTGATGCACATAGTGTGACACACATAGTGTGATGCACATAGTGTGATACACAGTGTGATGCACATAGTGTGATACACAGTGTGATACACAAAGCCTGATGCACATAGTGTGATGCACAGTGTGATACACAGTGTGATACACATAGTGTGATACACAGTGTGATACACAGTGTGATGCACATTTTTTGAACATGAAAAAAATATATGCCAAACACACAATTTTCGTGAATTCCCCAAAAAGATTTAACTTTACATTTTTCTTCACGAGCCTTACCAAACCCATGTTACCTGTTGGCAAGTATCTTACCAATGTAACATTACCCACTCCTTTAACTCTTGGTTTCTCAAAGATTCTCTACTACACAGTGTGATGCACATAGTGTGATGCACAGCGTGATGCACATAGCGTGATGCACAGAATGTTGCACATAACATGATGCACAGCGTGTTGCACATAGCATGATGTACAGTGAGTTGCACATAACATGATGCACAGCGTGTTGCACATAGCATGATGCACAGTGATGATACTTCCAGTTGGTAATTCACTGTTTGGGAGACAAAATCCTACTTTCAGGAAAATGATGATGTTTAATATTCCTGATTTGTATCTTTTTAATGAATGAAACATTGCCATTGGCAACATTTGATACCATTAACTAGGTGAAAGGGAAAGCAATGAAACATTGCCATTGGCAACATTTGATACCATTAACTAGCTGAAAGAGAAAGCAATGAAACATTGCCATTGGCAACATTTGATACCATTAACTAGCTGAAAGAGAAAGCAATGAAACATTGTCATTGGCAACATTTGATACCATTAACTAGCTGAAAGAGAAAGCAATGAAACATTACCATTGGCAACATTTGATACCATTAACTAGCTGAAAGAGAATGAAACATTGCCATTGGCAACATTTGATACCATTAACTAGCTGAAAGAGAAAGCAATGAAACATTACCATTGGCAACATTTGATACCATTAACTAGCTGAAACACCCTAATTCAAATAACTTCAAATGTGAAATGATGGCTGTGTATCTATATAAAGATCATTGTCATGTTGCCATAATTGCCCAGTGTAGATCTGTGCTGTGCATAAGGAAGCTCTTGTGATACAGGCAGGAGACAACCTTTCAAACACAATGCTTCCTCACCCCGATGGTCTTTCTAACCAAAATGCCATGACCTTTTGCTCTTCAAACTGGGACTTTGATCTCATCATTGTTCTGGCTAACACATGCCATAAAACTTATAATGCATCATTAAAGTTGTTCTGGTTGAAACACTGGTATGGCCCCAGCACTGCCACATGCGTCACCGTAGTGTGTCTGGATTGGAGTGATTTCTCTGTTGAACTTTACTGTCAACTGAGAGAAATAGAAGTTGGTTGCAGTAATGGATTAAATTAGAATGATTACACAATAAATTTAGGTGACTATACTGCATATAGATAAAACCAGGAGTGGTGCAGTTCAGGTCTTATTTTAGGCAGCTTGAAGTCGTCGTGGTATGTTGCCTGTACTCCTTAACATTTGATCTGTAGTGTATATATCTGCCGTTACACATGATCTGTAGTGTGTATATCTGCCATTACACATGATCTGTAGTGTGTATATCTGCCGTTACACATGATCTGTAGTGTGTATATCTGCTGTTACACATTATCTGTAGTGTGTATATCTGCCGTTACACATGATCTGTAGTGTGTATATCTGCTGTTACACATGATCTGTAGTGTGTATATCTGCTGTTACACATGATCTGTAGTGTGTATATCTGCCGTTACACATGATCTGTAGTGTGTATATCTGCCATTACACATGATCTGTAGTGTGTATATCTGCCGTTACATATGATCTGTAGTGTGATTACACATGATCTGTAGTGTGTATATCTGCTGTTACACATGATCTGTAGTGTGTATATCTGCTGTTACACATGATCTGTAGTGTGTATATCTGCCGTTACACATTATCTGTCTGTAGTGTGTATATCTGCCATTACACATTATCTGTAGTGTGTATATCTGCTGTTACACATGATCTGTAGTGTGTATATCTGCCGTTACACATGATCTGTAGTGTGTATATCTGCCGTTACACATGATCTGTAGTGTGTATATCTGCCATTACACATGATCTGTAGTGTGTATATCTGCCATTACACATGATCTGTAGTGTGTATATCTGCTGTTACACATGATCTGTAGTGTGTATATCTGCCATTACACATTATCTGTAGTGTGTATATCTGCTGTTGCACATTATCTGTAGTGTGTATATCTGCTGTTACACATGATCTGTAGTGTGTATA